TGTGTGTGTGTGTGTGTGTGTGTGTGTGTGTGTGTGTGTGTGTGTGTGTGTTGCGGTGATGTGAGATGACAGAAGGAGCAAATATCACATCCACAGCCATATCCACATCAGCAATCGCCAATCAGCAAACATCAGCAAACATCAGCCACGACCGCACTTTGCCGGGTTGTATGCGACGGTCTGGATGATGTCGCTTGGGGTGAATTCACCGCGCTCGTGTGCAATGGACAGCGAATATGAGTCACCCTCCTCGCTGCACCACACCCTGCACACACACGCAACACCGCACATTGGGGCAAGGGAGGTCGAGTGGCAAGTGATGTGGAAGGGCGGTGTTGGTTGAAGCGAGCGATGTGATTGTGGTGGTGGTGAGTTGTTTGAACCAGATGGAGTTATCGGAAAAGAACAGCAGGTTAGAGAATCCACCGGGTTGCACACACGCACACACACGCACGCACGCACGCACGCACACAGACACACACGCACCTGATTTGGTTCTCCGAGGTGGCGGCGATGAGGATCCCTGGTCCGGCAAACCCAAGGGATGAAAACGCTTTTCCGGACATTTTGAACTCGTACTTGTCCTTGACAGCGCCATCTGGGGCCACGTGGTGGTGCACCACCATCATGTCTTGCGTGGCAACGACCAGCGACGCTGCATTGGTGGTGGCGGTGGTGGTGGTGATGCATGAGCGCAATGTATTTGAGCAGCTGCCAGCATGTGTTGCTCAGATACACAACAAACAACCGAACGAAACGAAGCACTCACCTTCAAGGAAACACACACACACACACATCTCCAAACAAATCCCAACACAGACAACCAACTGCGCAACCAACCAAACGAAGCAAGCACATGTGCACACCTGACTCCGGGTCGAACACGAGGTCGACAATCTTGTCTGTGACGGGAAAGGACGGGGTGCATGCGCCGGTTGCGTCAGCCAGCATGACGCCCTTGTCAAATGTGCCCAGGAACACCATCGACGTGTCCTCGCTGCCAGCCGTCACAGCAACGCCTGGCGCGCACACGTGATTACAAAACAAGAGGGTGTGTGTGTGTGTGTGTGTGTGTGTGTGTGTGTGTGTGTGTGTGTGTGTGTGTGTGTGTGTGTGTGTGTAAGAACGAAGCGCCGTAAAAGGGAGTGTTTGCGGATGCACACGTGGCATGATTTTGCTCCAGCTGAGAACCGTGAGCTCGAAAAACACGCAGCGGATCGCCCACTTCGCACACACACACACACACACACACACACACATTTCCACACAGACACACACAGACACACACAGACACACACACATACACACATTTCCACGTGCGTGCGTACAGTGTGTGAAGCCGGTGTCTGCCTTGTGTTCATATGTCAGAGAGGCCTTGCCCGTCTTGCTGATGCGCCACACGCACAGCTGGCCCTCCTGTATGCATGCCCAATGACCATCAATTTTTTTTGGGGGGGGGGTTAATGTGAACCACGAAACATGATCGTCAAGCACCAATGACTGCGATTTAAGCGATGCACAGCCACAAAGAAGCAAACACACACACACACATCAAGCATAAACACACAGGCAAAAACGCACAGCCGCTTCAACACACATACACGAACGCGCCCACACGCACACACACACACACACATGCGTACACACTCACGTACGCATACACACACACAACTAACGTCATCGGCGGAGAAGAGGCGGCTGCCATCGTGAGACCAGGTGAGGCAGGTGATGTTGTCGTGCATGCGCTTGCACTCGTACGCCATGTGCGTCTCCTCGTTCCACATGATGAGCTCCCCGCTCGCCCACCTGCAACACATCATTATCATTCGACATAAGATCAGATTCGGTGGTGCGGGTTATTGTGTGAGCGCATACACTCGTACGTGTATGCGTGCGTGCGTGGAAACTCAATGGGCGCGAGAGGGAAAATGTTCACGACTACAAAACGACACCACGCACATGCACACGCACACGCACGCACTCACACACACACGCACACACACACACAATAACGCACATACCCTGTGGCGAGAAGCTTCAGGGTTGGATGCCAGGCGATGGTCGTGGGCTTGGCAGCGCGTTGCAAGGTGGACTCGGACAGGTGTTCGCCATCCTGTGTGTACAGGCTGACGGAGCCACTCGTCATCCCCTGTCGCCTCTGTGTGTTTGTGTTTGAGAATGCGTTGCGTTTATGAATGTGTTGTGTACGTGTGTGCGTGTGTGTTGTGTGTGTGTGTTGTGTGTGTGTGTTGTGTGTGTGTTGTGTGTGTGTGTTGTGTGATTGAGTGAGAGTGTGAAACAGTGAAGGAAGTGAAGGAAGCTATCAAGCCCTCGGAACGACCACAACAACAACGGCAGTGATGTCTCACAAATCACCCAAACCACAGAACACACAGCGTACTTCTTGGGCGGCAACAGCCAGGAGTGGGTGCTTGGTGTGCCAGGCGGCATTGATGGGCGTGTACGACTCGGGAGCCGATACGGGAAAGTCAAAGAACATCGCCATGATGCTGCTTGACGATGCTCACTGAAACAAAACAAGATAACAAACAAAACAATTTGCGTGACATGATGTGTGACCACACCGCAATTCGTGTCAAACAACAGCGCACATCAACAGCGCACACCGAGAGGGTACTGCATAAACGTACAAACAAACACCAACACCACCACCAACACCAACACCAACACCACCACCAACACACCACCTCGCTCGTCACTCCTGACCTCTTTCGTTGCTGTCGGTTTCGTTTGTGTATCCGTTGCTGGCCCAACACAGAAAAAAATAAATTCGATGGCTGCTACTCTTTATGCTGTCGCATTATAGGGACTACGTGGATGATTCTCAATGTCTTCATATGATTCCGCACTCCGTGCAGTATTGGGCAACAAACAAGCGAAGCGCACACAACACGCTGTGCGACTTTCTTTCCTCCATCTGTCATCTGTCAATCAGGCACCACACTCTCTCCTGTCTTGTGGTACCTGTCCTTCTTTCTTTCTGTCTTCTGTGTGCGTCTAACACACTTTCCCTCGTCTCCCATCATCACCGGGCAGCACCAACACCTGCCTTGAGCTTTTGGATTTGTTCTGCTTCAACTGCGGTCGCAACCACAAGCGCTGGAAGCTGTGGTTGTCTTGGAAATCGATCGCACGCGCGCGCGTGGTAAGCAAAGCGTGCGTTGTTGTTTTGTTTTTTTTCGCGATATCACCTGCTCCAGCTGTTGTTTCTGGTGGGTGTTTTGCATCCAGAACAACAGCTGCTGTGATCGGAACTGATGCTGTGATTTTGGTGGCTCCAGCTGTGCGCGAGGCTTCAGCGCGCATGTGTGTGTGGTGTGTGTTGCTGACGTCGTTAGCTTACCCGCTGGTGTACATTGTGTGCGTGGACAAAACGGAATCGACAACGTGACAGACTGACTGCCTCTGAAACGACGTCGATCAAGTACCTCAACCCACCACTCACAAGTGTAGTGCGGGGAAAGCAATGCCATGGCAGACCCTCAGCTTCTGGTGCGTGCGGTGTTGCTTGCGCGTGTTTGCTGACATCTCGCTGGTGGTTGTTGTATTTGCTGACGCGTTTGTTTCGTGCGTGGCTCATGCGTGCACTTGCATATGGTGTCTGTGCCGTTCGACTTACTCAGCTCACATGCTCCCCACGCACACACACACACACACACGTTCATACACACACGCATTCACACGCACACACACACACGTTCATACACACACACACGCATTCACACGCACACGCTGGGCCCGCACGTGCGCATGTGCCTGTCCACAGATGCTCTTGGAGCGAGAGCTGAGCCAGGACCGAAACGCACCTGCTGTGCTGGCTGTGCTGCAGGCCATATCACGGCTGGAGCCCGCCATGCGCCAGTTCCTCCTCACCGTAAGTCTTTACGCACACACGTGTGTTGTGTTATGAATTGTATGCTCTGTATGCTTGTGTGCAGTTCGTACGTGGATGTGTACACCCTGTGTGTGTGTGTGTGTGTGTGTGCGTGTGTGTGTGTGCGTGTGTGTGTGTGTGCGTGGCCTCTTCCTGTGTGCGCGGGTCCCGTGTGTGTGTGTGTGTGCGCCTCCTCACACACACACTGACACACATACACACATACACATATACACGCAACGACCACACTTTCTCCCTTTGGCCTCGTCCCACGCTTGTTTCCTCCACCGTCCACCCACCCAACAGGGCCTGCACCACGCTGTTGAGAAGAGCTCTGTGAAGCAGGGCCCGGCCATCCGCGTGGCAAACGACGTGCAACACCTGCGCGCCCTCTCCGTGCAGCAGGACAAGATTGAGCGCACGGCAGAGACGCTGCTTGGATATGTGCCCCTGCTCCGCGCCAACAACGTGACGGCGGCCAACGAGTACGTGCGCCTGGTGGCCGCGTGCGTCATGCAGGCGACGCTGCAGGGCTACGACCCGGCCAAGAACAACCGCCTCTTCGTCATGTGCCATGACCTCCTCGCCCTCTGTCTCGTGCACCCGGCGTTTGACGCAGAGACGCAGCACAAGTTCACCGCCCTCATGCAGACGCTCAACAGCCTGTGCAGGGGCCTGGTCCCCACGCAGGACGACGGCACCGGCATCCACGACAGCAGTCTTGGCAGCGAGATGATGCTCGCCGCACACATGTCGCCCGTCCTCACAGCGGCACACCAGCAGCAGCAACAACACCAACAACAGCAGCAGCAACACCAACAACAGCAACAGCCGTGGACAGCGGGCGGTGTTGCGTTTCCATCGTCACTCGCGTCCACCACTTCCTCTGCCAACAGCCTGCCAGCACAGCCATCTTCCTCCCGCCATGACGACCACCTGTGCACCAGCGACTATGGCAACACCAATAACAGCAGCGGTAGCACCATGACTGTGCACACTGCCATGGCCATGGCAACAACAGCTGCGCCAACAGCAGCAGAACAGCACCACGGCGCCAGCACATCCCGCTCCCTGCCCAACGTCTCGCCAAGCAACACCGCGCACGCCACAACCCATGACAACGGCGACGACAACGATGGTGGTGATGGTGGTGGTGGTGGTGATGGTGATGATGGGATGCAGTTTGGTGGTGATGATGGTTCTCACGCAGACCCAACAGCATCAGCGCCAGAAGAGGAAGAAGACCACAGCGCGACCGCCACTGCGCCTGCGGGGATGGGCGAGGACGGCATGACGGATGGCAGTGCTGTGTCGGCGGCGTCATCAACGACGTCGCTGTCACCGATGGCACGCAAGCAGCGGCGCAAGAAGCGCGATCTCCGGCCGCAGCGCGCCGCCCCACGGGTACCCGGTACTGCCCAGCAGGTACCAGACGTCCTGGCCTATACACAGGAGGCCACAATAGGTGCGTGTTGATGTGGGTGTGTGGGTGTGTGTGTGGGTGTGTTTGTGTGTGGGTGTGTGTGGGTGTGTGTGTGGGTGTCTGGGTGTGTGTCTGGGTGTGTGTGTGTGTGTCTGTGTGTCTGTGTGTGCGTGTGTGTCTGGTCCCACAGCGGGTTGTGAGCAATATGAGCAACAGTCTTTGTGCCAACACTTACCCTCCCCCCTCCCGTCACAATCCCCCCCATGCATGCTGCTGTTTCCCTGGCAGAGACACGCGCACACGACGGTGGTGCGGACGGTGTGGACAAGAATGCAAACGCCAGCGCCGAGAGCGAGACTGAAGGCGACAACAAACACGAAGAGGCAATGGCGGAGACCGAAAGCGGTACAGCCGAGCAGCAGCAACAGCAGCAACAGTACGTTGACAACGAGAGCGCAACCGCTTCAACGCCAACAGCAGCAGCCACGTCGGCGTCAACGACGACGACAACCACAACAACCACAACAACAACAGCTCCACCTTCGCCGATGGATGATGCCAACAACAACCGTGGGGACGTGTTTGATTCGGCCACCCTTGAACGTCAGTGAAGATGATGATGAAAGGAGGGGTGTTTTTGTTTGAGGGATGTGACGAGGTGTCAGTGACGGGTGCACACGCGTACACATAGCGCAAACACACGCACGCACATGCACACACACACACGCACACTTCCCCTGTGCACTTGTGACCCCTGCTTGCCAATGTTGCACTGGCTGATACGACATGCGTTCGCTTTTATTCGTGCTTGCAGGCATGCGCGTGTGGCTCAAGTCGCTGCGACTGCACAAGTACCACTCCATCTTCGCCTCGCTCAACTATGACGCAATGATGGCCATCACCGACGCCGAACTCGAACGCCGCGGTAATTAACCAGGGGAGGGTGCTAAGGGTGTCGTGAGACTATTGGAGAGAGTGTGTGTGTTTGTGTGTGTGTGTGTGTGTGTGGTGTTCTTCGCCCCCGTTGTTCTTCGCTTCCTTTACCCTCATCATCATCATCATCATCATCATCATCATCATCATCATCATCATCATCATCATCATCATCATCGTCATCATCATCATCATCATCATCATCATCATCATCATCATCATCATCATCATCATCATCATCATCATCATCATCACCACCACCACCACCACTAGGCATGACGGCGCGCGGGGCCCGCACGAAGATGCTCAAGTCCATTGAGAACCTGCGCCAGTCCGCGTCAACGCAAATGGCCAACCTCGATGCGTTTGCAGAGGTGTGGTGGCGGTGGTGTAGTGTGGAGTGGTGTGATCTGTGACTTGTGATTGGTGATTGACGGGGCTGGTGGGTAGTGGTTGCTGGGTAATTGGCTTTGCTTGGTAGTTGAGGCCAGATTGCGTGTGTACTCCTGGCCTGCTTTGCTCAAACTTAACCTCACCCACGTTCATGCACCCAAACACATATACCACCTCTCCATTCCCCCGCCTCCCTCCCCAATCGACAGGAGATCCAGCGCGGGCGGTACGACCACGCGTTGGCAAAGATGCTGGACATGGTGCTCGTCCCGCGGCCGCCCCACCTAGCACACCTCGCACCCTTTGCCACCAAGGTCCGCACGCCGACCGCACGTGTGTCACTGCAGTCATCCTACGCGTTGACTGTTCGCTTGTGTGTGTGTGTGTGCATGTGTGTGTTTCGGGTGTTGCCTTTGACTGCCTCACGAACACCCTGTCTCCACAATGACATGTGTGTGTGTGTGTGTGTGCAGTTTGTGCAGACGCTGGGCGGGTTGGTTCTGCTGTACACGGGCGATCGCATTCGCCTCCGCCGTCAGGAAATCGAAACCCTTCTCCGCACCCTCGACACGGTCTGGCACCCGCCCTGTTTCGTGTGTGTGTGTGTGTGTGTGTGTGTGTGTGTGTGTGTGTGACGTGCACAGAGACAAGTTTGCACGTGATTGTAGTAGACATGTCATGCACATTTTACCTCCTGTACATTCCGCTCATGTCCTTGCATCCCCTCCCCCTCCAAAACACATCCACACACGCTTCCCCGCACATCGACAACGGCACATTCATGCATGCACGGCCATCAGGGCAAAGACCACCCAATGTTCAGTGCGCGGGACCGCGAACAGCTGCAGACGTGGCTGCTCACCATCGAGGCAAAACTGCCACAGACGCCATCAAACAGCAGTGGCAACGTCGGTAGTGGTGGTGGTGGTGGTGGTAACAATGGAGATGATGGCAGCAAGGCAGACAACCGCTGGAGCCTTCCTGTCGATCTCCACCGCTCTGGCTCGTACACAAAGGTGAAGAGGCGGCAGCCCTACGACGCACGCAGGGCGCGCTCGGCATCCTCAAAGCCCCCAAAGAAGTGAGTCGGAGGGTGAATGTGTTTGTGTGTCTGTGTCTGTGTGTGTGTGTGTCTGTGTGTGTGCGTGAATCCTTGTGCCATTCACTGCTGCAAGCGCTTTGCCCACTTCCCCTCTCACTGCTCACCACCGCCGCCAACACCGCCACCATCGCTTTCGCCACCAGCGGCCGAGGACCGCCCTCGCGACCGCGCAGTGAAGTCCACGCCACCCCCCACCTCATCACGCAGCCGCCACTGTACGTCGCCCACACAGCACACCACCATCGTCTGTGTATCTTTGCTTCTGCGTGTGCGTGTGCGTGTCTGTGTCTGTGTCTGTGTCTGTCTGTGTCTGTGTTACATTTCCCACCTTCACCATGAAATCAGCCACTCCTCCAAGTCATTCATTACCACACACACACACACACACACACACACCACGTCACAACACCGCCAGGCACCGTCGCGCTCTGTCCTCGGAGGCGCTGGCGTTTCCACCACACGCACACGTGCAGCAGCACATGATGCCGCAACACCTGCACCAACCCCAGCACCAGCCACACCAACACCAACACCAACACCAACACCAACACCAGCACCAGCACCAGCACCAGCACCCCCGGGTGCCTCCACCGCGCCCACCGCCGCCATCAGTCACCCCGCGCATGCTCCAACAGCAGCAACAGCAACAGCAACATCAACAGGCCATGGCCCAACAGCAGCAGCAACAGCTGCTGTCGCAGGTGCCGCCCCCGGGCCATCCAGGGCTTCCTGATTCGGTGGCGATGGGAATGCAAGGCCTGCCATCAGCAGCACTGCAGATGAAGATGTTTGCAGCATCCTACAAGCCATTCGAGCCACAACAGCAGCAGCAGCAGCAACAGCAACAGCAACAGGCATTCTCGCGCCCATTGCACCACCAGCAGATGCAGCCACAGCAACAGCCACGCCAGAGAAGCGGCGGAATGGTGGATCCCTTCTCCTCCACGCCAAATGTGCTGACTCAGCAGCAGCAACCGATGATGATTCCTCCAGCCAACGCCTCTGACATCTGGGGATCAGTGTGTGTGTGTGTGTGGGGGGGGGGTTGGTGGGTGAGGGTGTGTGTGGGTGCGTGGGGTGAGGGTGTGTGTGTGTGTGTGTGTGTGCGTGTGGGGGGGGGGTTAGGTGGGTGAGGGTGTCTGTCTGTCTGTCTGTCTGTCTGTGTGTGTGTCTGTCCATTCTTATTTCAGCTATTGTGGTCACTGAGGGTGCCCCTCAACCGCTAACAACATCTCCTCCACGTGTGCAACTGCATGATCCTGCGCCACAGGTGACATTCCCTTCGGGTTTGATCCCGCACAGCGCCGCGATTCGCGGTGAGGGGCACGCACACACTGAAATGTAGACCGCATACCCCTGTCACCAACTTGCGGTTTCCCTTCACACACTCACACACACACTCACTCACTCACTCACTCACTCAATCACTCACTCACTCACTCACTCACTCACACACACACTCACTCACTCACTCACTCACTCACTCACTCACTCACTCACTCACTCACTCACTCACTCACTCACTCTCTCACTCACTCACTCACTGACGCCCACCTCTCCCCGCCCACAGCTCATCATATGGGGACAGCATCTACGGGAGCCAGGAGCTGCCGACAGATCAGCGGCAAGCACGGCACTCGTTTCCCCTCACTAACCCTTACGACGCCGCAGCCATCGCCTTCCACCAGGCAGGACAACAGCAACAACAGCAGCAGCAGCAGCAGCCTCAACAAGTGGCCTCTCCTCTCCACCAGCAGCAGCAACCACAGCAGCACTTTGTGGCTGTGCCGTCCACGTCTACACCCGCCACGACAGCGGTGACGTCCAGTGTTGCCAGCCTCTATCATGGGCACCACCACCATCAACACCACCAGCTTCAGCACCATCACAGCAACACCAGCACGTACACGGAGGAGGACGACGATGACGACGACCTCTTCTCGAAGATTTGCTATGATGTCGCAGAGACGTCCATCCGCGACACATGAGCGCGCGTGGTTTTGGCTGTTCCAGTCAGTGCCCAAATTAGGGCGCGTCCAGAATTGTCAATCCTGCAACGGTTCGCCCCTTCTCCACGCCTCTACTCCCCATCTCGTTCTCTCTTCTCTGTCTCTGTCTCTCTTGGTGCACTTTTGTCGCAACCCATGCATGTGTATGTGTTGCTGTTGTTGTTGCTTGTGTTTTGTGTTCGTGTTTGTCCCTCTTGACTGTCATTTCTGTGCGCGTGCTCTTTATTCTGTTTAGCTTGATTCGTGCAGGCCACGTTTGTTGTATGCCTGAGTCTGTGAGTCTGTCTGTCTGTGTGTGTGACTGTATCTGTGTGTGTGTGGTGCAGTTGTTGCGTTGCTGGTGGTCTTTGGGCATTTTGTTCGGTTGGCTGTTCAGCCATTCTTTCCTGCCATTATCACTCGTTCAGGCGTTTAGGGCCCGGTCTTTTATCCCTTCATTTGCCTCTATTCTTCTGTAGGTTTGGTTGCTTTCTTCCTGTAAGAACGGAACCGTCCTGATTTCTGCTGGGGTGAGCCCCTTTCTTCTGTCATTTCTTTGTTGTCACGCGTCGCATGTGTGTCTGTGTGTCTGTGTCTGTGTGTGTGTGTGTGCGTGCGTGCGTGCGTGCGTGCATGCGTGCGGGTGCGTGTCTGTTTCTCTCTCTATCACCTGCACACCCTCTTGCCTGTGTCTTCCATTGCGTCTTTGATGACACCGCCGTTCATATTTCAAAGTTAGGTTGTTTGCTTGCGTGTCATAAACGAGTTCTCATTGCGAGCAGAAGAAGCGTCGGTTGGAAGACACATCATGAGTTGGAGCGAGCGTAAGGAGGAAGAAACATACAGGCTGGAGTGAGCGGTCGGAAGTGACAACAGAAAGCCAACTCAACATCATCATCAACAACATCAACAACAACAACAACAACAACAACAACAACAACAACAACAACAACAACAACAACAACACACACAACAACAACAACAACAACAACAACAACAACAACAACAACAACAACAACAACAACAACAACAACAACAACAACAACAACAACAACAACAACAACAACAACAACACCACCAGAATACCACTCCTAACACTCTCCTCATACCATTTCCCACCACATGGCTCATGCCTTCACACTTCGCACCCTTGGGAGCCAGCTGCTATTCTTCCGCGGTGGCGGCGGCGCAAGAGGGCGCGAAAAGACCCAAAGGGGTTTGGGTTACTTGGCAGTCTGCCATGCAGGATCCATTGTACGGAGTGGCGGTTGCTGTCTCGTTGAGAAGTACGCGCGTGCGCACTCGCTGCAGCTGCGTCGCTGCCCTGCCCTTCGCCATCAACGCCGTCACCGCCATGTTCGCGTCCCCTCACATCGTCGTCCTCGCTGCCTGAAGTCAAGAGGAGTAGGTGGCGTTGCTGTTGTCTCCTTGCTGGTGGGCCGGCCTCGGCCCCAGCACCTGCCTCGTCAGGTTGGTGCCACGCAACGTGGACAAAGTAGTGGTGGTGCAAACGTTGTGGTCGTTGCTGCTCTTGCCTCAGCGTAGTGACCTCTGCAAACACCGCCGCCATGGACTCAAGCAGCAGGGAGATGGACTTGTCGTCAAGCTGATTCTTTGCGGTCCTCAGCTCGATGGCCACTTGGCGGCACGACAGCAGCTGCTTGCATGTACCTGCTCGTCTCCGCACTGCTGCACGGCTTGGGAACAGCCGGCGGACACGCCACCACCACATTCTCCGTTGCCTCTGCTGTTGCCCCTGCTGGTGATGGTCTCGTTTTGCCGCCGTGGACTCGCGTTCCTCTCCATCTCCATCTCCATCTTCGTCTTCGTCGTCATCGTCATCGTCATCGTTGTCGTCTTCATCAGTCCCAAAGTAGCCGGACAAGCGCAGTTGGTGCCGTCGCTGCAGTCTTGGCTGCTGCTCCTCATCGCAGTCTTCCTGAAGCGCTTGCTGCGTGACGTGGTACACAATGCGTTGTGCAAGCAGTGCCGCTTCAATACAGCCCTCCAATTGCTTCATGCATTCCTTGCGTGTCGGATGGGAGAAGTATGCGCGGAGAGTCGGTGCATGGCGCAGCACCTGCTGGCAGCGATCACCCACTTGACGCGCCAACTCCCTGTTCTCCTTCAACGTGTTCACGCGCGCATAAATATCCCGGCAAAGCGCAAACAGCAGGCTGGCAAAGGGCACAACCTCGCCTGCGCGCCTGATGATGCCACCAAGGGCTTGGCGCGCGTTGTTCAGCAGCACTGTCGGTAGGGACAGCGCTAAGATCCGATCTGCAACAGCGTCTTCGTCGGCGACGGCCGCGACCACACCCTCGTTGTCCTCGTGGCGAAACAGGTCCTCCATCCTCACGTTGTCACGCGTGTTGAGATCGGCTATGACGGATGGCATCGCTTCATCCACTTCTTCAGGTGACATGCCCACAGCCTCATCGACCTCGGCACCTTCCTCGCCTTGGCCTTCGATGGTAACAGAAACCAGACCACTATCGCCATCGCCATCATCGTTGTCCCCGCTGTAAGTGTGCTTGCTGCTGCTGCTGCTGCTGTTGTTGTTGTTGCTGCTGTTGTTGTTGTTGTTGTTGCTGCTGCTGCTGCTGCTGCTAAGTCCACCAAAGCCATCCATATTCACGGTTGGGCTTGTGTCGTTGTTGATGGTGGTGGCTCTGGCCTTGTCGTTGTTCGTGTTTTTGTTGCTGTTGTCGTTGTCGTCACCAGCATCGGCATCATCAGCATCAGGCTCGACGATGGCAGAATCGGTCGAAACAGCAGCAGAAGCGGCAACGGCAGCTGCACTCCTGTCGTCGTGAACGCTGCTGCTGTTGTTGCTGTTGTTGCTGCGTTGATTGCTGCGCTCATGTGGGCGTAAGACCGGCCGCTTGTACCCATCGCTGTCCAAGTCCAGACAGTCGAGCAGCTGTTCCGCATGCTCGCGAGATACCGCGAGAAGGCGGGCAGCCTGAGAGACCCCTTGCTGCACAATCTCGTACAGCACGTCCCCTGCGTTGTTCGGCGGCGACTGTACACCCTGTGCGCGAAGGAAGGCCTGTACCTGGTTCGGTGACATGCACAGGAGTTTGTCAACGGTGTGTTGCTGTTTCTGCTTTGGTGTGCAGCGATTTCGCCTGCGCCGTGGGCCGCCCCTCAATCCTCTTCTGCTGCGCTTCAACAAAGCGCGCATCTGTGAGATGGCACTCCTGCTGCGGCGCTTGTGGTGGGTGGGACTATGTACGTGTGCGCAGGATGCTGTGATCGTGTATACCCCAATATTCCCGTGTGTCTTTGTTGGGCGAGCTGGGAATCAACGGCATGAAGGCGTCGGGGGGGGGGGTGCGTGTGTGCTTGTTGTTGTTGCTTGTTGACTTTGGCTGTTGATGCTCCGTGCTGTGTTTTGCTCGTTGGCTGGGGGGGGGCGCTTTGTGTGTTGCTGTGTTGTTGTGGTGGAAAAATGAACACTCAGGATGTGCATTTTGTCTTGGCTGTGGTGAGGCCAGGCTTGCTGTTGGGCGGACACGGTACAGTGTTTGATTGTGCTGTGACGAAGCGGTGACGGCTGCAATTCTCTCATCATGTGATTCTGCACGGCCATACTTGCTTTGCGCTGAAGAAAGTGATGGGGAACGGTCAATACAGAAGCAATGCAGCCCGGGCGTGTGTAACGGTGAGTTCGAATGGGGTAGGGTCTCACACAACTGCGGCTGTTGCTCGAGCTGGGGCAGGCTTGATGGGAAACAGTTGCATTTGTGATGTGCGACGACAAGCAGGACTGGGCACCTCTTGCCCAAGTCTCTCAGCCTGGTTGATTCAACACAACTACCACGTGACATACATGCATGCACATGCACATGCACACACATGTACACAGAACCGATCTTGCATCCATTCAGGCTACCTGAACGAGACGGCGTATTGGATGACGTAGGTGCTGAGTCACAGATTGGCATAACGCAGGGTTCATCGCAGCTGTCGCAAGTAAGGCGACGAAGCAAACCAAACACACACACACACACGCATGAGAAGCGCGCGTGTCTTGTTGATGTGGATGGTTGATTGATGGCAACGACTTTGTTGATTGATCGAAGGCCCTTCAGGCAAGCACGCATTCATCCCCAGCCAGCCAACCCTCCAACCACTCAAGGCATAGAGCCAAAGTTGGACGCTCTTCGTCGTCGTCATCATCATCATCGTGTTGAAGCAACCACAAACACAAACATAGCAGCAGCAACAGAGTGATGACTCCTGTTTGCGACTGCAACTCTCCCGTTGTGCAACTGCTTTTGAGTTTTCGCGGCGTGGTGTCCTCACTGGAGTCGACACCATAAGAAATTTGTTCCTTGGTGGATAGCATGATGCGGATGTGATGGATTCGTTGTGTGTTGTGCTGCTGATTATGAACCTAATGCGCACCACTCTGTCGCATGGAAAAATAAACAAACCCCAGCCAGCCAGCCAGCCAGCCAGCAAAAGCGCACACACACGCTTGCACACGCAACAGCCCTTGCCTAGCCATTCCAGCAAGCGCCACCAACAACAGCACGCCGCTTTCTCTTTGTGTGTGTGCCAGCCACGCCGCCTCCTCGCTGCACCGCTCTCCTTCTTCTCTGCCCTTCTTGCTTGTCAACTGCGGTTGCCGTTTCCACCCCTTGTGTGCTCGGTGACCCATCGCCTGCGTGTGCACACGTCGTGTGTGTGCGAGTGAACGTGTGTGTGGACGAACGCAACCCCTCCCCCTCCATCTTTCACCCAAGCACAGACAGCCAAGGCACCCAAGGAAAGGATCCGTCAAGTCACATCACGCGAACCAACCAACCAAAGGAACCCACAACAAATCAACGTCCTTTTCCCACCTCTCTTTGTCTCTCTCTCTGTCTCTGCCTCTGTCTCTGCCTCTCTCTCTCTCTCTGTCTCTCAACCCATCTCGGGATCCGTCGCTCGCGCCATGCCCACGGACGAGCGTGGCCGCGGCCCTGCAAGTGCAGCGGGCATGGGCGATCCGTCCACGGTTCGTGCCTACGCCAAGCTGCAGGGTGAGGACTTTACCTACTACATCCAGACCTTGAGTGTGACGCTGGGCCGCTACACGCCCACGAATCGCGTGGACATCAACCTCGGCACCTCGAGCGCCATCTCGCGCCTCCACGCCAAGATCGAGTACAACTTCAACCTGCAGCAGTTTGTGCTGTTCCCCTTGGGCAAGAACGGCGTCTACATCAACGGCGACCTCTACAAGCGTGACACCGCTTTCGCCCTCCAATCAAGG